TGGGGCGGGGGGGGGTTCTCAGACAGTTATAAGGGAAGGGGCGGTTAGTTGCGAGCCGTTCGATCTGGGGTGATCGACGGAAGGGATTGTTCAAGTCAAAAAGCGGCCGTTTGGTTTATTAAGGGGGTTTGGACAGGATTGGATTTGCTTATGGGGATTGGGCTTGGGTGAGATTTATGGGCAGATTTGGGCCATCTTGAATTAAATGGCCCAATTCCGTAGACCTCTCTTTTGCTTTTTTTTTAAACTCTTTAATAAACACTTTGGTCTAATTAAAACTAAATCCTAGAATTAATCTAAACACTCATTTCACCTAATGAATTGCTAAATCAAACAAATTAACTGATTCTGCACGCCTAAAGGTGCTAAAACAAAATGAAGCGACTAATACCTTATTGATCATTTTTTCTCTCTTTTTTTAAATTAGTAAAAGGTGACTAAATCCTAAAAATCCAATTGAAGACCTAAATGCTATGAAATAAAGATTTAAATATTTATATGATTTTCATGATTTTAAGATGTTAAACATGCACAAAAATGTAACTAAATGCAAACAAACGATTAAAGAAAAATTCCTAGAAATACCATAAAATCAAAAACAACTAGAAAAAATTACTTTTTGTGAATTTTGTAGGAGTATTTCGTAGAGCAAAAATTACGTGCTCACGGTCAACTAGCAGTTAAATAAAGTAAGGAGACAATCATCCCACAATATTTTGTTTCATCCATTGAATTTCCCTTCTTATCTTTGTCAAGACTTGTTGAAGGACTCATTGGTGTACCAATTGATTTAGCATTGCTTATGTTGAATTTTTGAATCAATTCCTTTGTATACTTGGTCTGACATATAAAAGTTTCCTTCTCAAATTGTTAATTTGAAGTCCAAGGAAAATATGAGTTCTCCCATCATACTCATTTCGAACTCACTCTGCATGAGGATTAGAAAATTCCTTGCATAGGAGAGAATTAGCATGCTAAAAATAATATCATCAACATAGACATGGATAATGAGATTAACTTCAGAGGATATTTTGATAAATAATGTAGTATCTACTTTACCTCTTGCGTATCCATGATCAGTTAGGAATGAACTAAGCCTTTCGTACCAGGCTCGAGGAGCTTGTTTGAATCCATACAAGGCTTTAGTCAACTTATACACATGGTAAGGAAATTGTGAATTTTCAAAACCATGAGGTTGTTTTACATATACCTCCTCATCAATAAAGCCATTTAAGAAATCACTTTTATCAACCATTTGAAAATTTTTAAAACCTTATGCATATGCAAGAAGAATATGAATTAATTCTAACCGGGCTACCGCAGCAAAGGTTTCATCATAGTCGACTCCTTCCTGTTGTGAGTAGCCTTGGGCCACCAATCTAGCTTTGTTCTTGATTACTTTTCCATCCTCGTTCAACTTATTCCTGTGTCACGACCCAAAACTTAACCTGTCATGATGGCACCTATCATGATACTAGGCAAGCCGACAACTCATGCACCAACATTTTTCAGATTCAAGATATACTAAACAGGTCAAAATAAGTGAAAATATTATAAAAATCGGATGAAAACGTCATAACTAAATACAGAAGTTCCCAAAATCCGGGTGTCACTGAGTACATGAGAATTTGTACAAATACATGGTCTGATAGACTGTCTAAGAAACTAGAACTGAATAAGTAAAACTGAAAGATAGGGGAAGGAGAGTCAAGGTCTGCGGACGCTAAGGCACCTACCTCGATGATCTCCGAACTGAAGAAAATGCCAAGAATCAACAACCACCGTGTCCGGAAACACCTAGATCTGCACATGAAGTGCAGGGTGTAGCGTGAGTACAACCAACTCAGTAAGTAACAAGTCTAACTTTTGGTACTAGGCCAGCCGACTATCACAATACTTCAATAATTCATTTAAATGATAAGCCAAAAACCTTTTTATAACAGGATTTTCATAAAAAAGAAATACGAGTTAAACTCAATATAGAAATACTGAACGGAAGCCCCAAACATCAGGGTGTCACTATCATGAGCATCTAATAGAACTGGTCCAACAATAACAAGATTTAACATAGTCTGAAATCCAAAATACAACTCAAGAGAGATAGGGAAGAAGAAAAGCAAGGCTGTGAATGCCGGGCAGCTACCTCGCTATCTCCAGACTGTTGCGAAGACTATCAAAAACCTCGCCGATCAACTACTTCTGGATCTGCACACGAGGCGCAGGGAGTAACGTGAGTACACCAACTCAGTAAGTAGCAGAAATAAATAGGGAGCTGAGAAGTAGTGACAAGCTATGCAAATACAGTTTATTTCATAAAATACAGTAAAGTGTAGGCATGCTTTCAGTCCAGAGTTTAAGTCAAATCAGTTGATTTAAGTCAAGTTCAAGTAAAGTCAATTAAATTATCTTTCAACAGTTCTCAAAACAAGGATATAAGGCAACTATGTGCATCAAAGATATAATCATATACTGCCCCTCGGGCAATCATCACTCAGTCCTCCCAATCACTCCAACCTCACAGCCACTCATTCCTCATAATCGCTCAGCACTCGGCACTCGCACTCAGTAGGTACCTGCGCTTACTAGGGGTGTGTACAGACTCCGGAGGGGCTCCTTCAGCCCAAGCGCTATATCAATACCAATCGTGGCAGAATTAATGAAACATGCTGCGGCGTGCAGCCTGATCTTATAAACATCCTCACAATCAGGCCCTCGGCCTCACTCAGTCATCAATCTTTCCAGTCTCTCAGGCTCTCAGAAATCAGGATAGTCAGCCCAACAAAAATGACATGATGCATCAGATAGGATGACAGAGACTAAGATATGATATAAGAATGCATGAACATGACTGAGTACGGAATATCAATGAAAACAGTGAGATGACAGCAAGAAACGACCACTAAGGGTCCCAACAATACCGGCATAAGGCCTAAACATGGTGTCTAGCATGATTTACGGTCAATCTTTCTATAACACATAGGGAGCATATAGCTAACAACAGGGTGTTCAACTTTGCAGTTCTACGGGATGGACCAATATACAATCCCCATCGGTCTACGCCCACACGCCCGTCATCTAGCATGTGCGTCACCTCCAAATTAGTCACATGATAAAAAATTCGGGGTTTCATACCCTCAGGACAAGATTTACAACTGTTACTTACCTCAATTCGGGAAAATCCCAACTCCGCAATGCCCTTGCCTCTTGAATCGGCCTCTGAACGTCCTGGATCTAGCCACAAGCAGTACAATGCCATTAATATATGCTAAAGGAATCAATTTCACAAGAAAAACTACTAAATTAGACTCAAAACCCGAAATTGGCTCAAACCCGCCCCCGACCCCACGTCTCGAAATCTAACAAAAGTCACAAAACCCGAAAGCCCATTCACTCACGAGTGTAACCATACCAACTTTACTCAAATCCGACAACAAAATCCCCTTCAAACCTAAAAATTCCACCTCAAGAACTCTTCCATTACCCCCCCCCCCCCCCAATTTTTCACCCCAACTCACAATTTAGATGATAAAAATCAAGATATAATCATGGAATTTAACCAAAATCAAGTGAGGAATACTTACCCCAATCAACCCCCTGAAATCCCTTCAAAATCACCCAAATTCGTGGTCTCTAACTCAAAATAGGAAAAATGGGTTCAAACCTTCGATTTTTGAATATAACATTGCCTGCCCAGATTTCCTTCTTCGCGAACGAGACCGTCCTCTCGCGTTCGCGTAGAACAACTTCACTGCCTCCTTACTTTACTCTTCATGACGCGACACAATCCTCGCGAATGCGATGCCTTACAAGCTCCAACCTTTGCGAACGCGACCACCACCTCGCGAATGTGTAGAACAAGGACCTGGGGTCCCCAACTGCCTCACTCCTCTTCGAGAACGCGACCCTTCTCCCGCCTTCGCGATGCACACGCAAACCACACCTTCGCGTTTACGTCCTCCCCTTCGTGAACACGAAGAAAAAACCCTCCCCACTCAGAAATCACTCTTCGCAAATGCGAGGGTCCACTCGTGAACGCGAAAGAGGAAACGAGAAGAATTCATCAGCAGCTATCAACAGTCTCTTCAAGGCCAAAAATGCTCTGTTAACCACCCGAAACTCACCCGAGACCCTCGTGACCTCAACCACACATCCCATAACATCATACAAACTTAGTCGAACCTTCGAATCACTCAAAACGACATCAAACACTAAATTACATTCGGATTCAAGCCTAAGTACTTCTAAACTTCCGAATTCCACAAACGATGCCGAAACCTGCCAAACCATGTCCGAATGACCTCAAATTTTGCACACAAGTCAAAAATGACACCATGAACCTACTCCAACTTTCGTAATTCCTTTTCGACCCCGATATGAAAATTTTCACTACCGACCAAAATCGCCAAAATTCTAACTTTTGCCAATTCAAGCCTAATTCTACCACGGGCCTCCAAATCACATTACGGACGCGCTCCTCAGACCAAAATTACCTAACAGAGATAACGGAACCATCAAACTCAAACCCGCGATCGTTTACACATAAGTTAATATCCGGTCAACTTTTCCAACTTAAACCTTCACCTAAGAGACTATGTGTCTCAATTCATTCCAAAACCACTCCGGACCCAAACCTACTGACCCGGTAAGATATAATACAGCTGAAGAACACAAATGAAGTAGAGAAATGAGGGAACGAGGCTATAACTCTCGAAACGACCGATCGGATCGTTAGAAGTCCAATTACAGAAATACAGTACAAATATGTAGATATGCTTTCAAGTTTAACAGTTAAGGCCCAAACAAGTAAGATATGTCAAGTACAACTGAAATAAGAAATGATACATCTCGATATCTACTCAGTTATCAATCTCTCCAGTCTCTCGAGCTCACAAAATCATGATAATCAACCCAAACAATGATGATATGATG